TGCTCAGTTTCACCGCTCCTCGCAGGAACTGTCAGCTGGGGAGAGGACCAGCGTGGGGCAAATCTGCGAGGCTGTCCTGTCACAGTGGCTAAAGAAATCCTCAAAAGTAAGAATAAAAATACACAGGGATGCATCAAAAGAAAAGATGCCCTGTCGCAGACAGGTCATAGAATCATAGAATCATAGAATGTTTAGGGTTGGAAGGGACCACTAGAGGTCATCTAGTCCAAGCCCCCTGCAGTGAGCAGGGACACCGCTAACTAGATGAGGTTGCTCAGAGCCCCATCCACCCTGCCCTTGAATGTTCCCAGGGATGGGGCCTCCACTACCTCTCTGGGCAACCTGTTCCAGTGTTTTACCACCCACATTGTAAAAAATTTCTTCCTTACCTCTAGCCTGAACCTACCCTGTTCTAGTTTAAAACCATTTCCCCTTGTCCTAACACAGCTGGCCCTACTAAAAAGACATTCCCCATCTTTCCTATAGGCCCCCTTTAGGTACTGAAAGGCCGCAATCAGGTCTCCCCGTAGCCTTCTTTTCTCCAGACTGAACAAGCCCAACTCTCTCAGCCTGTCCTCATAGGAGAGGTGCTCCAGCCCTCGGATCATTTTTGTAGCCCTCCTCTGGACCCGTTCCAACAGTTCCATGTCCTTCTTGTGCTGAGGGCTCCAGAGCTGGACGCAGTGCTCCAGGTGGGGTCTCACCAGAGCTAAGTAGAGGGGCAGAATCCCCTCCCTCGACCTGCTGGCCACGCTTCTCCTGATGCAGCCCAGAGTACGGTTGGCCTTCTGGGCTGCCAGCGCACATTGCCGGCTCATGTCCAGCTTTTCATCCATCAGTACCCCCAAGTCCCTCTCGGCAGGGCTGCTCTCGATCCTTTCTTCCCCCAGCCTGTATTGATACTGGGGGTTACCCCAACCCAGGTGCAGGACCTTGCACTTGGCCTTGAAATGCTGGTCTGGCAGTGCTAACTGGTGGCTTCCCTGCTGAAATCTCCTTTCTCTGCTGCCCAGTGTATTGAGCTGGTATTGAATTGATACTGAGTTGGCCCCACTGGTTAGAAATCACATGGACATTTCACAGGTGGCATCTTAGATTTTCAAAATCTGGGTAGGTGTCAGGTAGTTTTTTAAAGCACTGACTGAAAGAAAGAATCCTATTACTACTTCTTGACATATTCTGTACATAACCCTATAATTATTTCAAAAACTACTTGTAAGTTTAATTGGCATATTCTCTCCTGTTTCTTTGCTTTACATCTTTAGAGTCTTTCACCGAATGAAACTGTCTCATTTTCAGTGCTGTTATTCTCATTGAGTATCTCCTCTGTGAGATTTATTTATTGTTGAACCAGTTGGTAAAAACAAAGGTTTTTTTTCTCAAGGAAGTGTCTAATCTTACTTTACATGCTTGCTTATTTTAATGAATTTATTACATATGTCTAAAACAAAGTTAATGTTGAAATACTAACATGCAACACACTCCTCTATGAATGTTAGAGCTTATGGCTATGAAGACTGAGGTAGAGTTACATCCCTGATAGTGGATTTTGGAGATGCGTTTGGAAGATGACTGTTCCAAGTTCTTACTATTATCTCCTTGCCTTCACATCAGGTGGCACTCAGTGACAGGCGTAGGGGCAGTACTGTGCTTACTTTGGCCTTTATTCATCTGGTATTTTTACTACTACTTTTCTGGAAGCGTAGCAACAGAAATGATAGCAAATGAAATCATTATAGAAAGAGTTAATACTAGTTCAAAGAACTACATCAGAGCTTTAAAAACGAAAAAGAAAATGAATAGATAAGATGTTCTGTAGTTTTCTTTGTTCTGTGATTTAGATTAATATTTTGCGGTGGTTTCATCCTTTTTTAGTACCTCGTTGCTGTAACAATTGAATTGGTCTTGTATCTCCCTCCTTATTATCATTAGTAGAAGGATGTGGCCCTATCTTTCATCTGTTCAAACTCAGCAAAGCTGGAAATGTATGTTTTGGTAAATGTAATTTCTTTTGGTAAATTCATTTCTATCTGCATTGCCCTGCGACCTTTTCATTCCCACCAAGAACACTTCTGAAGGCTGCAGAATGTGAAAGTACAGATTGTGCCTTTGATGTTGAGTTTATTTTAAAAGGAAAACAATAATGAATACCTTATCAAACAATAGAATGTATCATTATTGCTGATTGTTACCCGAGGCAACTTTGTTAGGTGTAATTAAGTTAAAATTTGTATGTTTTCTTGAGAGAAATATACCCTGAACGTTTCTGTTACCAATTTTTTTTTTTTAACTTTCACAGTTTACATCCAGCCTAAGTAGGCAAGGCTCTTAAGATTTATTTTTTTTTCCCCATGTCGGTTTTTTCCAACTGTTTCTGTTGCAAAGTGTGTCTGTAACGAGAGGAGCACTATTGGAGATGCCAGCATCTGATGGAGCGGCAGGTCCGCTCCGTGGGACAGCGGCCGCTGCGAGGAAGCGTTTCCCCACAGCCTCCCAGGTCTCTACCCGTCTTCTGTCATGGCTTCTGCAGAAACCATTGGAACGCCTTTTCTATAATAAATAAACCACAGGAGGGTTGAGTGAAGCGTCCTCTAAATAGGGTGGTATTTTGAGATTACTTAGAAACTTCAGTTAATACAGAGCACAGCTTTGTGTTTGCTTAGCCAGGCTAATGGCGGGGAGCTGGTTACACCAATGTGCTTAAACCAGCCATGTTTCATGTCCCGAAAATTGCACGGGCTTCTGGATAGATCCAATTTTTCAGCTATTCCCTAGCAGCTTGGGTCTTGAGAGAAGGCCCGCGCCCCTGCCATCGTGCTGCGGTTCAGTTTGGTGGAAGCCTGCTTGGGTTGGTCTGCTGCGGTGTGGAAGGCTGGATGCTTGGTGGGCTTGAGCTCTGCGATGTACCCGTGCTCTCGGGTCACGCACAGATCATCCGAGTTGTGCTGCGGGAGCTGCCCTAAGGTAGGGTGGTGGATTTTGCCTGGGAGTGATTTTTAAAAGAGAAGGTCTGTGGCTTTTGGAGTTTCTCGGTTTGCACTGAATTTGTTCAGATTTATTGATGTATTTTAAAGTTGGTTTTTGTGCATCGATGGCATGGTTTTCAATACTTTCTCATAGAGGATTACTGAAATTAGAGATGGAGAAGACATGTTGAATCATGTGGTTCTTCTTACTTTAAACTGGACATGTGAAATATGTGAAGTTTTCTCAAAGAGCCTTCTGTGAACCCTACCTGTCATATGAAATGAAGGGGAATGCAAAAGCTTTCACTCTAAGCCGTGGTTACTGACTGAGGTCCACCTCCTGTCATCCTGTTGATAATTGTGTAGAGGCGGTAGTGTAATGGAAGTACTCATGGAATAAGGTGTTGCTCAGGGTTTTAAAGATTTCTGCTAGAAATGAGGAGGAAACCAAGGAAAAATATAAGGGAGTCCATGTTGCGGACCCAAACCCATAGTAGTATCTGTCTGTAGTGGTGTTACAGTGGTTGGTACAATTTTTCTGATAAAAAATGTAAATTTGATTACTTTGCACACAGTAGAGTTCACTAGCTAAGCATTTTTCTCCTCAAACTTTAAATAAAAAGCTTCTAGATGACCTGAGTTTACTTCTGCTTGTTTTGCATCTTTGTCTGTTATCTGTGAGAGAACAAATACCACTTCTTTTTGTGGAAATTCCAGTTTTCCATAGAGTATTAATAGATATTTGCAGATTTTGGGAGTGGGACCTAAGCTAGAAATAAGATTTTAGAAAACAAGGTCAAGCACTGAGGAAGCCATCTTACCTATTTGAATTTTAAATAGTGATATGTGCAGCAAAAGTTTGCAGTCCACAGACAGAGTATGGGGCTTAGAAAGTGTTTGTTAAAAAGTTCAGAAAGTGTAAATTTGAAAAGGGGTGAACTTTTGCTAATAGTTCACAAACCGAAGACTGAGCTAATTTTGCCGCAAATTGTTTCAGCTGCTAGGTATAGCGCAGAAGTTCTTCAGAAATAAAATGAACGAGTCAGATTTCACATTGAGCAAATATTAAATGAGGTGCCAGGCCACAGATTTAAAGATGGCTGGGCTTGTAAGAAGTGGAGAGGAAGAAGTTGGTGGTAGTCGCAACTGGCTGCTAGAAATTCTTGCAGTTCAGTGCAACTGATGCCGTCGTTGTGGCAGTGACAAGTGCTGGGCTGAAGCCAGGCATCAGTGACAAGTGTTATATACTTCTGTTGCTTCTGCAAATTATTTGGGATAAACTCTTACCGCGGAAGGGGATGTCCAAATCCACTGTTTCTGAAAATAAATATTTTCTCTTCTCCTTTCACTGTTCCAAAACAAAGGCATCCAATAAAATGAAGTCTTGCAAAGCGGTAGTTTTCTCAGGTGTATATGTGCTTCTGTACATGTAAATAAATTTTACAAATGCAAGTAAAAATTTAGTGAAACTGTATGGAAACTGACAAGGAGTATTTGGGTGTCCCGCATCAGATAGTGAAAATGAAAGTTTCAGTTAATGCTGAGATTTTAATCTGAACTTGGGTGAAGCTTTCACATCAGCATGTTATCTGATGGTAAGAAAAAGCAGTTTTATTAATCAGTGTTTAATGTATCTATTATAGGCATGCACTCATGTCTTGCTTTCCCCGGAACAAATGTTTTTCTTAGGTGTACCTGAGGTATCTTTTCCCCATGTCAGTTTATTTGCAGTTTGACATTTTTTGTTTCTCTCCAATACAGCCTCATTAATAGCCTCCTAGTGTACAAAGCAGGTAATATTTTTTAAGGTTTTCAAAATATTTTCCCTTGTTTTTATTACATCAGTATATATAATCAGTATCGTCATCCGTTGTCCATGCTGCCAGTGTGCTGAGGGGAGCATTTGATACTAATCTGTGAAGTGTGTTTGAAGAAATATCTGGTGATATAAACATTAAAACACTTCCAGCATTTTCAGATAAAAGTTTTTTATTTTTTAATTTTTTTTTTTTTTTTTTTTTTTTTTTAGTACATGCATCATGAATGAATCTGCCTCCAGTGGAAATGGTCAAGAGTTTGATGTATTTAGTGCTATGGACTGGAAGGATGGCATAGGTACCTTGCCAGGAAGTGACCTAAAGGTAAGATGCATAATTTTTTTAATAAGCAAAATAAAAATGTTAAATGCCAAAAGAATGCATTTCACAAGCTGATGTGTAGGTATCTGCTTTTATGAATAAAACATGAATCTGCAGCTCTGAGTTAAGAGACTGTAGCCTGTTAGCTTTTAGCTCTGCAGTTTCTTGATTCAGCTTCTGGTGCTGGCACAGACAGCCGTCATCCGTGTAGGAAGGCATAAATTGGCACTGCCTCACTATATAGACAGAAGTAGTCAAGTGCGCAAAATCCAAAAGAAGTCTCAAAAGCGTGAAAATTCAGTCCACTTAGAGCATTATATTACCGTATCACTAAGAACCTTTATACTGTCATTGACTCTCACGATCTCATATTCTTAGTTCTTTTTATTTCTAAAAATAGTTTATTTTTGTTGTACTTTTGTCATGTGGGTGCCTGGAAAAATGAATAAAGTGAGTGCTTCTGAGCTTGGTAAAGTTTAGAAATTTGAATGTTACTGGAATAGTACTTTTAATTACATTTTTCACACTGGTTGTATATACTGAAGTAAATTGTAACAATCTTATTTTGTTTTCAAAATATTTAATGTATTTGTTTTAATCTGATACTTTTTACTGTGTTGTCAGATGTCCTCTGCTGCGTTAGCTAAAAATACAGTTTCGTTAATAGAGACTTCTTTTGTGCCTATTTCCCGTTGATTGTAGTCAATATTTTCATACAATTCCATTTAGACTAATGTTGATGAACTTTTCTTGTAATTTATTTTTTAAAAGATCTCATAAAAGCATCTGTGTTTTCTAAAAGAACTTTATATCCCTTGGTGCCTGATACAATTTCTGTTGTTAAAGTAAAGAGTCAAAAAATGTTTGACATTCAGGACGTATGCATTGTGAGTGTGTTTTTGTGTTTGGTTTTTTGGTTTGTTTTTTTTTTTAAATCACAGAACCAGAGAATAGATTCACAGAGTAATTTTCTTTGGAAAGGACCTCGGGTCCATCACCTCTGAGCACCCCAGACCTCAGGCCGTCCTAGATCAGGTTGCTCAGGGCCTTGTCTGGTATGGATTTGGTTACCTCCAGGGTTGGAGATACTGAGACTTTTTGGGCAACCTGTCCCAGCATTTGACCACCCTCATAGTGATTTTTTCCTTTTATGGATACTTTGTTGGAATTTCCCCTTTTACATCTTATGCCTGTTGCCTCTTGTCCTTTTACTGTGCACGTCTGAGAAGAACCTGGCTCCATCCTCTCTATATCCTCTCATTAAGTACTGGAAGACAGCAGTAAAATTTCTCCTTCTGTTCTAAAGACTGAGCAAAGAAGTTCTCTCCGCTTCTCCTTGCCTGTCATCTGCTACAGCCCCTATTTGTTTTGGTGGGCATCGGCTGGACGTGCTCCAGTATGTCAGTGTCTTTCTTGCAGGCCGCATATGGTCTCATTGGTGTTGAATAGAAGGGAATAACCCATTCCCTTGACCTGGCTGTCCTCTGGCTCAAGCAGCCCTGGATGCTTGTGGTCACTTCTGCTGCCGGGGCACATTGCCCACTCATGTTCAACTCATAGGTCTTCTGCAAAGCTGTTTTCAAATAGTCAGCCCCGGGGCTGCCCTGGTGCACACAGCTCTTCTGTCCCAGCTGCAGGGCCTTGCAGGTGCTTCTGTAGACCTTCATGAGATCTTCTTAGCCCATTTCTTCAGCGGGCCGAGGTTTTTCTGAATAGCAACTCCAATTTGGTAATTTGCTTGTGCTGCCTGTGTGCAATATAGAAGCCTTTCTTGCTGCCTTTGCTAGTTTCTTCTCCAGCTGAGCTTTGGGTGTCCTAATTCCATCATTTTACACCACAGCAATATCACTATATACCTTCTCTATGGGACGTTTCCCCAGTTTCACCTTCTGCTTACTTCCTTTTCCATTTCCAACTGAGCCAGGAGCCCCTAGTTCATTCATGTTGGCCTTCATCCACATTTGCTTCACTTCTTGCACATTGGCACGCATCACACTCTTGGTATGAGATCCCTGGAGAGATATCCAGATCTCCTAGGTCCATTTACCCTTTAAAGCAGATTCCTGCATGATCCTGCCAGGCAGATCTCTGTGAACAAGCCAAAATCTGCCTCTCCTGAAGTCCAGTACTGCTGTTCCAGTATTTGTTATGCTCGCTTCTTTCAGGATTTCAGGCTTCACCATCTCATGGTTGCTGCTGCCAAGGCTCTCATCAGCCTCCACATCCCTGACCAGTTCGGTTTTGGGGGTTTTTTTTGTTTGTTCCAGGCTTTTAAAATTCCTTTCTATTGCAATAAACAACATTGTGTGAAAGGCAAATGTAATATTGAAATGTTCGAGGCATACAAAAGGGAACAATGAAGGAAGATACAACAATCTCATGTAAATCACTGGTGCGTGCTTTGTTCACTTCTGGTTACCCTATGTCAAGAGAAACAAAAACCGAAGCAAAGGTGGGGTCATTAATTGGTGAGGGATGGGAATGGGAGGGAAAGGACTGGGAGGTGTAGCTGAGGGTAACTCCAAGAAATCACGTAAAAAGATTCTTAACTATGTCCTGTTCAGGAAAGCATAAGCTTTCTTTTAAGGTTGATCTTCTGTTTGTTTTTACTTTATTTTATGTTTATTTGGAAACCAACAGGTATTTGGTTTTTGGACAGAGGTTTCTTTCTTTGGTCCAGGCATTAGGGAGGACGCAATCAGAGGGGCAATGGTAATGTACCCAGAATGATGAAAGATGCAGAGATTACCGGCCAGACAGCTCATGCTGATCTTTTTTTTTTTTTTTTTTTTTTTTTTTTTTTTTTTTTTAAATACAAAAGGAAGGGGTTACTGGATGAAATTGAAATGGAGCCATTGTAACAGTGACTGAAGGAAGACTATTTTCTAACAATGTAGAATTAGCCTGAGGAGCTTACTGGAGCAGGGAGCATCAAGACTCAGTGAAAGACTAGGCATTCGTATAGATACCAAAACAATTTGAGCTGTTCAAATAGTAAAGATTTTTAAGCTTTTGAGATAATTGTAACAACTCATTTTGCAGGGCAGCTTCTAAATACTGATGGTTAAAAGGGTGACTAATCCCTTGAAACTGTAAATGTGATTGTGGAAGATATATTACGCTCTTCGTGGAATTCTCAGATTAGGGTTAATACGGATGGTTTACCTGAACTGTCCTGATAACAGAGTATTTTAATACTGTGTCCTGAACCTAAAGGAAATGGCCTTACATCGCAGTTCTGTCTTGTAAGCTTGCATGTGTCTTTCAAAAATTGTAGTAGGCTTGTTTCACTAAAGATATCAAACAATTGCCATGTATTTACACTGAAATGTAATTGAAAAATTGGGTGAAAACAGTGTAGTAGCAAGATGCATGAATCCAAAGATTCTATTTTTACAGCTTGGTAATAGATTAGAGTGCATGGGTTTTTTATAATAAATAATAAGAAATAACTGAACGATTCATTGCAGACACTGTATTGCTTACGTTCTCACATTTAATCTTTTCATAGAATGTTGGGGAAAATTGTCTTTGAACACTCAGATTTGTTAAACTGTATTGTATGATCATGTTTTAAGTTAAAGGTATACCAAAATGTTGAAATGCTGCTTTTTAATACAGAAGTTTTGGGGCGTTACCTACTTGAAGTCCTTATTTTTAGTCATGTAAGTCATATGGCATTTGCTTGTCTTTACTGCTTGCATGATGAAATTTCATGCTTATTTTTACATGTGCACTTTTAAAGACATTTCTTTTCTTGTGTGCTATATTAATACCCATCCTCCGCAGATTATCAGGCAAGTATATCTGAGCAACCATTCTTTTTAAGAACCACTTCATTTTTGTGAATATAAGCTCCTCTATGAGTAAAAGCTGGTAAAAAAATATTGTAAGTAGTGTCAAATGCTTGAAAGATTTACAAATAACTTTTCTCAATATTTTCTTATAATTTCTCAAATTTGACTTATGATACAGAAGAACAACTAAATCAGAAATAGGAAATTGCATTGTTTGTTTTTGTTATGAAGGTCTATGGGCAGTTTTATGCCTACCAGACACTACTGAGATAGGCTGCACCAGGGGGCACTCACTTCCCAGTCTAATCAAAGCAGGGGAGCCGAGTCAGATGCCAAGCCTCTGTTCTCAGCCATCTCTTAGGTCTACATCTGTTTCCACGTTGGTAAAATGCTGAAGATGTTATTTTCCTATGATTCTGTGCTGTGTTTAATGTTTGACTTCTGTCACCCGTAGTTGGAGAAGGCTGCGGAAATACATTCTCATACAGATTTTGTTAAAACTCTTCAGCAAAAATAGTCATAAAATAGTTAATACTTCTTGAACGCTGCTTTGAGCATGCTGTGTGATGGATAAACAGTGAGTGGTTGTGGAAGACGCTAGAATTTCAAATTAGACAGGGGATAGGGAGAATTAAAAATTGTACAGTATGATGCACTGAAGACTGCGAACAAAAATTTTAGCGTTGTATATTAGTTCTTTCAAGATGTTTAAATAAAACAGAAAACTTGAATTCCAGTAGAGTTTAAAATAGTTTACAAATTACAGAATGCCGTCACGTGGCAGGCCAAGTAATATATGCTCATCTGAAAAACATCGGTGCTTACCAGTTACTCTGCATGGTGTGAATGTAAATGTGAAGTACTCTTCGTTTCTCTCTCTCTCTCTCTCTCTCTCTCTCTCTCTCTCTCTAAATCTCTGTACCG